TAGTGGATAGAAAAAGTTTGTAATGCCTCATAAAGTATGGCTCAAAGTCCAAACTAGAGTATATAAATTGATCCTCTATCTGTTTTGTGGCCGAATGGTACCGAATGCATACTTAAGTATATAACGAGATAGGTAGACTCTAGAAGTCTGAGATATGCATAGTCTAGAATCCCACACTTATAGCCTTTGTTAATCTCTTAATTAACCCACTTGATTCTCTGAACGCTACAGTACTTATGGAAAACAGATAGATCTGAAGTACTCCTTTTCAATCCAGTGCATGGAGCTTGCACTTAACTATAGGACTCAGACATAATAGCTCAGTGCACCAAAGCCTCATTAATACAGTAGAGAATGGTGAGAAGACTTGGATAAACGTTGAAGCATAAGACAACGTTATCTCCAAGAATACAAAAGCTTTAAGCACATTCAAGAGGAATACAATCCTCTGCTTAAAATGTACATCTATGAATCATAATAGATTAATATTTCAACATGGAGGCATCTTTTGTGTGTCTCGACAATGCTGACAGTCACTGAAAAACTAAAAGGCGTTCTCGTAATGTCACGAATCAAGTAAATGGCTTTTCTTCCCAACAAAGAAACAGTCAAATGTATTTAATCATAGTTAAGTTTAGATCTGTACTGCAAACTGCTAAAACTATGATGGATTCTTTGGGGCGGGAGCAAGTTTAAACTTAATTCTGAAACTTCTAATAGGTTTTATATATTAATAATCCTTGCATTTGATACAGCGCCTTATCACATCATTGAAAAATTATCCCTATACCCATTTCAGGATCCAATACCACAGCTTTGGGGTCAGTACATCACTGGTTAGATACTAATAATCCTTGCATTTGATATAGCACCTTATCATGTCTTTGAAAGGTCTCAAAGTGCTTCACAGAATATACTGTTGGTAGCACTTCTCATCTCTGAGTCAGAATGCATGGGTTCAAGCCTCACATCGGGGCTTTGAACTCACATTCCAATACAGTGCTGGGGGAATGCTGCATAGTTATAGGTGTTGCCGGGCAAATGTACATGAAAGATTCTATGGCACAATTTGATAGAGAGAAGTTTCTTCTAGTTTGCTGGCCAAAAATCCCCCAGGTAAAACTGGTCATGGCTGTTTGTGGGACAATGTGAATTATTATACTGTACTGAAGATTCTACAATGCACTAACTAGTATTACACAAGAACACGACTACTATTGCAAACATAACCAAAATACAAAGAAAAGGTACAAAACCCCACAATAACTCAAAGTAACATCCCACACACTCGTCAGCAACTCGTCAACTTTCTTCTCGGATGTCAGTTCTAAGCAGGAATTGCTCTTAAACTGTCCTGAATCCCACACAGTCACTCCTCTCTCGTACCCGGCTTTAGCAAGTGATCAGCAGGGCCTTTTCTTCTCCTTCCTCCATCTACAATTATCTGTTTCACTTACGAATTCTGCACCAAATTTATGCAGGTAACACTTGAAAGATGAAACACTGACGTCACCAGCTGTGATGGATACTTAATAGAGCTCCCCTCCAAGGAATGCCATCACAATTCACCTTTTTAAAACACAATATAAAGATCCAGTACATTCTGCCTTGACAGTCCATGTTACATCACTTCCAGATGCAACCAACAGAAACCATTCAGAAGTTATTCAGCCTCGCCACGTTGCGGTATAATCTGTATACCACTGGGGGTCTGGCATTCAACTTCATTTTAGATTTAACAAATGAAAAAACAGTGGTGACAAAATCGATTGCATTTTACAAATATTTATTCCGTATGTATTACTGATTTAATAGGTATACACTGGGCAAACGTAAGAAATAAATAACACATAAACGAGCAACTTGCAAAATTTTAGCAACAGCTTTTGTAGAAAATAAGAAAAATATAATGCTAACGCACTTGTGGAAATACAAGCTGTAAAATCATGGGTAATACATTTTGACATCAGTGATGTTTTAAACTCACAAGAAATTTACATGAAAGTCCAAAGTTGGTTCCAACTGTAATTCAACGAGAGCTAGAATTTTCCATTCTACTACACTACATAATGAAAAGGCATATTTATTGTACCACTTGAATCCCATCAGTCCTGTTGCAGGCTCCTGCTACAGGTTGGTTAGCTGATCTCAACAACAACAAAATGACATTTGTATAGCGCCTTTCACATCGGGAGGACATCCCAGGGCGCTGGGTAATCAGTGTTTCGGACCCGAGCTGGGGATTGGGATCAGGGAGGGTGTAGAAGCGGATAAGGATGGAAATACAATTTTAAAAATAAATTAAAAAATAAAAATAATTTGGTTTACTCAATCTACGACTGTTTTTGGCACTCTGCTGTGCGCAATTGGCTGCCTCGTTTTGCCCACAGTTAACTGGCTTTGCAGTATATTCTGTGAAGCACTTTGAGACGCCTTGAAGATGTGATAAGGCGCTATATCAAATGCAAGGATTATTATTGTTATAAAATCAGTCAACGCTGTGACTCCTGATTGCTATTCAGTAAGCTATGTATGTATGCAGAGACTCGGTGAGAAAAGGTTCAACTGTGATATCTTACCCAGCTATACAGCCAGCTGACACTCACTGTCTAAGTTCTCACATGAAGAATGGTCACTCTTTCGGAGTATCACAGGTCTCCAAATGACCATGGAATTGGATCTCAGCAAGAGACTGAGGAGCCAAGGAGAAAAGAAAAAAAAATCAGAAGGTTGACTAAAAGAAAACCCATCAAACCATCAGCCTAGTGGACTATTAATTTGTCCAGCAGACCTATAATTGGATAAAACGATTGGTTGATTGATCAGAAAATTACTTGGCCAACTGTTATTATTATTATAATAATTATAGATCCACATGACAGAATACTAAATTAAAATGTCAATTCATGATGTTGGCAGCACGCTTCATGCCTTGCTCCTGTAAGATGTGAATCCTCAACCAATGCACAGAACCAGGTGATGACATTCCACAGATTGAAAAGAAGGATTCAGTTCAGAGTTGCCACTGTGTTAGCACTCTCCAAACCAGTTTAGCACTGCTACAGTCATACATTTAACATACAGATTAAACAAGCCTTTTACAGGCACATAGAAAAGGGGAAGGTTGTTTTATAAAGTCAGGCTTACCAAAGACCTGGTGGACTTTGCAGTGAATTAAGTTACTGAACTAAGCTTTCACTTTATATCTGGACCAGACTGATGGGACAAACATCTGTTTGCAGCCAACTGCAAGGGCCTGCTGTGAATTGGATTTGGTCAGTCCCAGCCAAGCTTCATATGGGCATAAGTCCACCAGGGAAAATCAGCCTGTAATTCAGTACAAATTGAGTTTCACCCAGAGAACTCTTAAGGCTAGTTGGTGTTTGAAGCAGAAAACATTCACGTTACTGAAGTAGACGATGCTCCAAGATTGTGTGGAGTATACTGCTGGTAAACTTGTGCTGCCATAACTACAAATTCAACCAATCGTTTCATTAACTTGCCTCCCTGTCAGCGCAAAGCCACCCTGCAAAACAGCACAAAGCCACAACTTAACAATATTTCATTCCACTATTTTAATATGTGTAATGATGTGCCTAGCATGAAATCACCAGATGCTGTCCCATCAAGCTGCACATATTCCCTATGTTTAAGCTATCAAGTAGGTCCACAGTGAAAGTCTGGTGGACATTGGTTATAAAATAATGTTTCTGGCAATGCAAGAGAGAACCACATCTACCTTTGTGGGTAATGCTCAAGGCTAGACAATGCAGTATTGCATTAGAGCAGAAGTTAAACTAAATGGAGGTGAAGTTTCATTTATAACATGTAACCTCCAACTACTACCAAAACATCCATCAACCTATCCATATTTTGAAGATTTTTAACAAAAGAGGTAACACTGAAGGCAAACAATTTAATAATTATGCTTCTGTTTTCATAGCAAAATATGAATTAACATAAATACAGCTATATCTATTCACTGAAAATAGTTCTCAATTATTTTAATGTACCAAAACATACATGATTTCAGAAGCTGATAGCAAAGGCTTCTTGGCAGATATTTTATTGCAAATTCAAAATGATATTATTGCCCCAAAACAGAGAATTCAGAAGATTCAGAGGAAATGTTTTAAAATTTTGTTTTTAATAATTGTACCATCGAAATGGCTGACAAACTAGTCCATCCTGAATCTAGTTATTATCATAATTGCCGTTCAGTGTTTAGAAATGTTTGTTCAGCTAAGTAAATCTGTGTCCATCCATCTGGATATCAGTCCACAGAATGTACGACAACGTAGTTCAGGGACAAAATGCTACATTTGCAGGACCGAGATCCTCATGAAAGAATTTCTGACAAACTTTGCTTATTTTACTCAGAGGGAAGGGGATGAAAGAATGAAGAATTATTCTTCATTGTTACCACACAGAGAGTAACACAGACAATTAAATAGACAATCCATTTCCTTCAGATTTAGAGAATCATATTGACAGAGTTTGTAAGCAAACTAAATGGCTTTGCAAACACCTTCACAAGAAGGCTGTGTCCCTATAAGAATGAACAACCAGCTGTGGAAAGAAAATACGTATTTTGGCCATCAACATCACCAGAAGCTTAAATCGTCAACTTTCCAAAATACATTATTGAATGGTTCTTAAATATGGGATTTTTAATTGCCAGAGACAATAAACAATTGTCCAGAACCCCCCAAAACAATCCAACAATCATATGGACAGAACCATAATAAAAGCCACGCACTCCCACAGCACAAGAGAAATAAACATGTTTTAATGGTAGAAACACTCTCCCACAGACTAAAGAATGTAGCCTTTTAGTTACATGAACAAATTGTTCTTAAAATTAAGTCACTTAGAGAACAAAATAGCACTTTGGCTATTCTGAATGTCACTTTTCTCATAACTCAACCCATCTGGGCACACAGCAAAGTAGCCATACACTTTGATGATCCTTCTTTTTCTATAATTTCAGAAAGACTTACCTAGGTTTGTTCGAAGCTGTTATTAAATCATTCAAGCCATACACTCTTCAGCTGGAGAAAGGAGATGCTCATTCCCGAACAATGTCTCGCCTTTGGAGTGATAGGCTGGCCATCATTTGGTTAAATATCACAGGCTGCAATGAACATAAGAAAGCAATTCAGTAAAGCATAGCTCTGGCTGTATATTCACATGATAGTGGGAAACAATTTTGCCCCTCACGCTTCCAAACATGCTGTTCCAATCATTATCAAATAAATTCCAGCTGTCAAACGCCAGCGACATTTTACAGCTACACAAGAAAAAAAATCCTTTTCTTAACAAAAAATCATGGGCTACTGCTTTAGCAGGCTTTAAATCATCATAAACAAAACTGTCCAACCCGGAGCAGTAAATGGTTATACCTGAACCTCATTACATGATGCCTGGTGTATTGAAGTATTCATTTCTCTTCTTTTGCCCTGTGATAGAAAACAAGCTAAATGGTATCTTAACTGCTTCAGGAGAAGAAAAGAACATCGACAGCCACACGAGCAACAATGCCAGCCAAAAATACAGACAGCAAGTCCTTTGTGATAGTTCCACTCTGCTCTTTCCGAAGCCCGAATACACCTAAAATGATGCCTCTGCCACAACCTCAATGGCAATTGTCTTCAAATTGTCCTCACTTTAAATTCCAGACAGGTAACACTTCACTGTCTAAATAACTGTTTCCATTCAAATAGCCTTATAGCTTCTAGGCTCCAAATATTCTATGCTAACACACAAACATACTCTTCCGCTAGTCTCCATTGTTATTTCTGGAATCAAACCTCATTGTACTTTAGTGTTGGCGCAGTTCTGTTTTATTGGAGGGGCCACCCTTTTGATTAGATGTTAAACTGAGATTCCGTCTGCCTGCTGAGATGGATGTTAAAGATCCTATAGAAGTATTCAAAAAGGAAAAGGAGTTTCTCCCGGTGTCCTGGCCAACAAACCGCCAGATAAAATTGGTTATTCAGTTCTTGGCTGTTTGTGTTATGCTGTTATGCACAAATTGGTTGCCACATTTGCCTACAAAATACAATCATTACACTTTACAGTAAATCCTGTGAAATGCATTCTAACGTTCTGTGTGAGTCAAAGTCCCGAGATGGATCTTGAACCAACAAACCTCTGACTCAGAGATGAGACTGCTACTAACTGAGCCAGGCTGAGTGGAAAAAGTTATTTTATTAACACCTTCATTTTGGAGCAAGAAAATCAAGCAATTGGATATGCATCTTGGCACCCATTTCATATGGATTGAGATAGTTTTTTTTAAAGATAAATTTAATGATAAATTTCTCCGTACAAAAAAAAAACACCTGTATTTTGCTGCTGAAGCAGATGGGGTAAGAGTTCCAATGATGCTTGCAGCAGTTTGTAGCTGGAGCATTAATCCTCTTCATGCTCAAGTTTCTTCTAGCAGAGAACTCAAAGTGAGAAACTGAATTTATATATCCCACTTCAAATTACAGTACTCTCACCACGAAAGGAAAAGAGTTCCCCACAGTCCCTGGTAAGTACCTGTACAGAGTTCTGGACACTGCTATTCTACCCAAGAGGTTTTAGGGGGCCATTTGTCAAAGACTGAATCAAATTGATTTTCAGCACCTCCACTTATCTGCAAAGGTGAATATCAACTGGTGAAACCATCTAGTCAGGGTAGTTTTGGCAGTGAGAAGGAAAAAAAATGTTAAGCATAAATCTACAGCATTTGTTTAATCATCTTATCTTTGTCCCTCGGGATGGCTGAGGAACATTTATTTAATGTCATGCCCTGTTTAATATTCCAGTTGAAAGCAGAATTAAAGATCCATTACCTTATATCAGATAGAGTTTCTCTAACTTCATTAATATGACACATACTTGCGGTAGCAAGTTCAATATTATATTGAACCTCTTGGCTATGTATGCAGTTGAGACTGCTGTGCAATACAAGATACGTTACTGTTTAACATCAAAGTCTGCTGTTAACGACTTTGGAGAAGCAAGGGTGAAGAACAGAGGATGACTATTCTTTTGAAATCATAGAAATTTACAGTGCAGAAGGAGGCTATTCGGCCCATTAAGTCTCTTAAGCTCTGCATTGGGTCTCTTAAACTGCTCTTTAAATCCCACTGCCCTGTCATGCCCTTACCTCTTCAAGCCTCATATACTTTTGTAAACCTGTCTACTTCCCTCTTGAAACTTTTTTTTTAAAAAGTCATGGCACGGTGGGTTACAGAAGGTCTCAAACCGTCTTCAAAGCGCGGGTACAAACTAACAGAAGCTGAAGTCAGCGAAATGGAATAGTGTTTCAAAGGATGCACATGCACAGAGTGCTTCTAAAAACGCAAGCAGCACTTATCATGAGTGAAATTCAATATTTTAGAGGAGAAGGGAAGCTTTCGTCTTTGTCCATTCCATTACAATCAGTTTTTTTCTCAATCACTGGCTCTACTCTAAACAGGAGCCTAGAAGGTGTTGAAGATAGCAGAGTGGTTACATTTGTTTAGAAATTAAAGCACAGGTTTCAAAGTATAAGCACATGTACAATAACATGTAGTTTGGCGATTTGTTTTATAGGCAGCTTGTTTTCAATTATCTTATCACTAAAAATATAAGGAGATTTGAGTTTTCCGTTTGTGGATTTGTGATGGGCGCTCTGAACACTCAACAAAATAAGTTACTGAATATCACTGATAAGGCAGGAAGATGTCCAATCATCATATGTTTGGGATTCAAAGCTGTCAGCTTAACTAAAAGACAACAAAATACAGCAAATGGCATCGATTTCATGATTCCAAGTTAAATTGGCATAGAAGATGCATTATCTAACGTGCTATTGAATGGGCCAGCACAAATATCCTCCTCCATAGAACAACAACAACATGCACTTATATAGCGCCCTTCACTCAGGGTAGCGTCTCAGAGCGCTTGACATTGGCGGAGCCTAAATCCGAGCCAGGGTGGGAGGAGGTGGCCGTAAGCACGGTCGAAGAGGAAAGTTTTCAGGCGGGACTTGAAAAAGGGGAGAGAGGGGGCAAGGTAGAGGGATTGAGGGAGAGTGTTCCAGAGTTTCGGGGCGTAGTGGCTGAAAGCGTGACCTCCAATGGTGGGGTGGAACGTGCGAGGGACGAGCAGGAGGCCGGGGCCAGAGATGGAGACTCAGAGATGGGAATAAACCAGGATAGACAGCAAATTAAAAATATTCAATGTGGGTTGTGTTGAATAAATATACTCTTCCTGTGTGTAATAAATGATTTATAGGTGATTTAGAAACCATTTGTCCAGGTACAAAGGCATGACAGTCTTGAAATTAAACTTCACACTGCCCCTTCACTTCTGATTTAATAGCTTTTTAAGGCTACTGAATGGTACATCGCAGTTGCTCTACCACCTAACCACATTTTACAGGAAATGGGAAATACAATCACATACCCAAGTCGCTGCAGCAAAATTCTAAATTTAGAGAGAAGCCTTTTTGTTTACATTCAGCTTTTTTTAAACTATATTTATCTTTCGTCAAAAAGCACAACTATCTATTGCAACAAATTGTGAATCAATGCATTAGTGTCACCTGAAACCACTATGAGCAAGAAGATTTGCCATTGATATTAATTGTGTAATCCATCATGTTTGTTCACCTTAAACTTTTCAATATGGCTTTGCATTATCACAAGATGTAAAGCACCTCCAGCATGTCCTAAAGTACAAACACCTCCAGCATGTAGTAAAGGTACAGAGAGAGATGCCAAAACCTTCACTGTCTAAAGCAAACAGCATTTGTAACCAATACTAAACTCTGTGTTATAATAATAATAATCCTTGCATTTGGTATAGTGCCTTATCACATCTTCGAGGCATCTCAAAGCACTTCACAAAAAATACTATAAAGTGAATTGATTGAATATTTTGTGGGCGAAACACAGCAGCCAATTGCACACAGCAGTGTCCCACAACAGTCGTTGATTGAAGTGGCCAATTTTTTTTTGAAGGCATTATTACCCGGAAAAGCGATTGCCAATTGGCTAACAACCGGAGTCTTACTTAATGTTAAGTAAAGTCCTGAGCTACAGGACTCCACAGTACATGGATTAATCTGAAAGATCAAAAAATTGAGCCATTTTGTAGCATTCTGTGCATAAAAAACATACAATTATGTATCCTTATATTATAGAGATTCCAAACAGAATAAAATTATAATCATTTAAATTTCTCCAGGCAAAATTAACAACCAGAAATGCCAAGGGCGTAAATTTCAGCAAATGACCAGAATAATTGGGGAGACACTGCTATAAGTAATGTAATTTTTTTAAAATCCAGTTTAAAGGAGCTTGGTGGCTATTGTCGAATATTGAGGGCACTTAAAATACCAGCGCATTACTTGTGACAACTGATCGATTTCTCCATTGGTGTGTGAAGCAAAATTAAAACTAGTGTGGAAGATTGCAGTGGCATCTGTTAGACAGATGTTGCTCATCAAACTGATTGGCAGTCAACTGCTCAGTTCACACATATTTAGCTTGGCTCACTTTCCAAATCCTTGATCATAATAACCTGTCATAATACCCACCTGCAAGGGAGTATTTGGAAGCTATACAAAGAAGCAGCCTATGTAGGTGATGCATTGTAGAGAGACTGTCCTTTGTGGTCTATTATAAAAAAGGAAGTCTTAAGCAAAGTTTCATCTGTAATCATGATATGTAATAGTTTGTTGGAGCATGCATATATATGCATCTCTCTCTCACACACACAAAGCACCTGAAATAGTGAATGGTTTACATCCATTGCTAAATGTTTCAAATGTATTAATTTGATCTTTCTTTAACCAATAATTTTCCAATAAAGGTAGCATTTTTCCACCAGAAATATAAAACTCATTTGAAGTAATAATGTAGCATAAATGAATCATATCATGTGCAACAATTGGCCTCACAAATGTAGATTTTCCTGTGAGTACAATCATATTTTATGCCTTTCAAAATTTCATGACTCTCATGATATCTAATGCACAGCACATTACTAGTAAATAAAAAAATCATTTGGTTATGGATTTATTACGCATTTCATTTGGAATAATCACCATCATAGTTACTCATCTCAATATTCTGAGCAATGAACTGCTCCTAG